TTCATCAGCAACAACACAGAATACCCGACCAAGCAGGCTCAGGGGATGGTCCCAGAACTCTGAACCACATATAAAGGAATATTTAGAAGGTTGCAAGGTTTACAACAGCTGGAGGAATTTGTGTCGGAAGCAAGAAATCCATTGCTTTCTGGCTTGGGACGCTCAGCTGCTCCAGGAGCCGCCATCTTGGGTGAGGCCAAGCAGAGGAAGGATCGGAGCAGCCACAGATGCCTGGCAGAACCGCAGAGATAAAGGTGTGGACATTCTTTTTTTTTGTTATCTGTACATTGGTCCCTTACTGTCTGCGCACCTCCATTCTGGTGACTATAGGTGCACCTGAACTAGTGGATACCCTAGCCTCACCCTTGGAGGGTTCTACTACGCATGTGCATAGAGCTCCTCGAAATTTAAAGAAACAGTTTCCACTTAAAACCAAACAGCCACAACCGGCCCTGAACTGTTTATAACTAGATAAAAGGCCTGAATGGGGATTGTGGAGAGGGACAAGCAGACAAAAAAGGATCTAGGTAAAAAATTAAATCCTAAGTTACGTCAAAACGACCAACAGTGGCATCTTGAAATTTCTCTGGAAGAAGAGTGTAAGGGAAGCCCATTTCCTGATCACATCTACCTGGAGGCAAGCAGAAAGCATAAAAAAAAATACCAAAACACACACCCATCAAAGTGTTAAAGTCACAGTTGACCATATCTGCACATGTCCAGAAACGAGATAAAGTGACTGAGGCAAATGAGCTGGATGTAGACCTACACTTCATACTGGTAGATGGGCAGACTTTGGAAATGCCAGAGAAGGAATTCAGAAAAATGATTATAAAATGTATCAAAACACTGTACAATGGAGTTGAGAAAAATAAGGAAGAAGTCAGGAAACCGCTACAGGAACAATAAAATAACATAGATACAGCATTGGAAACAATTCAAAACCTACAGAAAGAGGTCCAAACGATTAATAATAGAATATCAGAAATAGACAATACACTGAAAGAGCAAAGGAGTAGAATTGAAGAGCTAGAAGCCAGAACTAGTGAGCTAGAAGATAAATCTCTCAACACTACTAAGATAGCACAAACACAAAAAAGGATAAAAAAATTCTGAAGAAAGCCTAAGATTCATGTTGGATAACATGAAGAGGAATAACATAAGAATTATTGGCATTCTAGAACAGGAACAATCACACAAGTCCACAGAGGAGATAGTTGAAGAGCTTCTGGAAGAAAATTTTCCTAACATCATGAAAAGTGAAAAGATAAGCATTCAAGAAGCTCAACGAACCCCAGCATGGATAGACCCTAAAAAGACAATCACCAAGACATATAATACTCAAGGTCTCCAAAATCAAAGATAAGGGCAGGATCTTGAAAGCAGCTAGAGAAAAGAGAAATATAACATACAAAGGCAAGCAAATCAGATTAAGCTCGGATTTCTCAACAGAAACCATGCAGGCAAGAAGGCAATGGGGAGACATATATAAAACCCTGAAAGAAAAAAACTGCCACCCAAGAATCCTCTACCCAGCCAAGCTGTCAATCAAATATGATGGTATAATCAAAACATTCCAGGATAAACAGAAGCTAAGAGATTTTGCCAAAGCTAACCCTGCAATGAAAAACACCCTAATGGAAGTACTGTGGACTGAGAACCAACAAGAACAGACAACTACAGAATAACGTATGTGGCAGCATCAACCTTAACTCAGTTGACAAATGGAAGAGTCAAGAACAGAATAAAATTATAAGACTAGAGCAACTGGGAGGTCAGTCTATGATCAAAACAATTACAATGTGAAAAAATGTAAACACAGGAACAGAGATCCAGGTGGTGGGAAGGTCAGGTAGATTACTAGATAAAGTAGAATGTCCTAAGTTGAGGGAAGAACTAACAGAATATAAGGTAACCACAATGGGGTTGGGGTGAGGGGTTTACTTTGGGTGTTGGGAATGGCAATACAAGAAGAGGGGAAGAGGCAGAAGAACAAGATAGGGGAACACTGAGACAAGTTTGCATGGCCTAGTGGGACATACTCAACCTTGGAACAACAGGGCTTTGGGATACAGGGATCTAGGTTTAGCTTAAAAAGGGTAAATAATACTAAAATCCTTGACTGCCTTATGAATATTAGTTTCCCTTGCCTACTATTATAAAGTAGACACTTGAGTGGTATAGAAAGGAATGTTGGGAAACATGATTAGAGAAAACTTGTAAGCCTGTCTTCAGCCTATAACTGTTTTGAATACCTAGAAGGGGTTCTACAACTTGCCCAGTGAAATAGGCTTCGTGCAAAGCCTTTACAGAGTATAGGACCTTAGGTGGAATCATGAGTTCCATCCACAACCTTATGAGGTGAGACATTCCCACTAGAAAGTACAAGAAGACCCTCTTGGAACAGCTAGAGTGACAGAAGATACATCTTCATGATGAACCTGACCTATATTCAGAGGGGTAGTTACTCTAAATACCAACAGAGAGGGAAAGAGTCTTCAAATCAAGTATCAATGCTATCTGCTCTGTACACAGGATAGATAGGGATGGGCAACTTAGACATTGGCTAACCTAAAATGAGGGGTCAATAAAGGCACGAAGTGACTGGCTTATAAGGTTTTAAGAGGGAGTTTAGTTTAAGAGTATGGGGGGAAAGAAAGAGTCTGCACTGAATAACTGTCATCTTGTCTAGATGGGTCTGGTGAAAAGAGATGGGGATAATATTCATAAGATTTAATAGTGAATAATTGTTATCATGACTAATCACGATTGTCACAATTGTAAAGGTAGAAGTTTTCTAACAAAAACAGCAGAGTGGTTAATCTTACAGTCCAGAAACAGAGGACCCTAGAACCATCAAGAGAGGAACGCACAAGCAGAATGCGGGACCTTATCCAGAGAAGCAGCAGAGCCAGAGATGGGGCCATGGAGAGGGGGGGAGTGGCTGAGGACTCTAGATTCATGAAGTAAGAACAGAGGCATTAAGAGTTGGTGGCCAGCAGCAGACTTGCAGAATGTGCCCTTTGGAGATGTAAATTATTATATATGCCTGAGTGGGTTTTTTTGTTTGTTTTTTAAAAAGCTAGAGTGGATAGAGAGAAATACTGTTAACTGATGGTACATGGAGAGGATTATAATCAATGTAATGAAACAAGGTGTATGATTTGTTGTATGTGAAACTGATGATATGCCCTGTAACTTTCACTCAATCCACAATAGAAACCTTAAAAAAAGAAGAAAAAAAAAGAAATGCTTAGCAAGTTGCCCACCCAGGAGACATCAAGACAAGCGGTCGGTCCCCTCATTGTAAACCCCCTTCCAAGACTAAGACTCAATAGGAATACATGCTCCTATGGGTGACCACATTCGCCACCGACAAGGGGAAGTAAGGCAAAAACAGCCATAAGGCTTGGAGCTAGCTAAGCTGTACAATAGCCAATAGACTCCTGTAAATCCAGGTGGAGACCTGGTTGGCCAGCAGTGTGGCAAGACCTGGGGACTCTTGGGTACAGAGTCAGTGACATAGCCATGGAGGACTGGAATGGAGGGTGAAGTGTCCAGTGGATAAGAAGAGAGGGCATATCCACAAGAGCACACATTTGCAGATAATACCCATTTGACCTATCCTCAATGAGTGGGTGATCAGAGCTCAACTAGAAAAAGAAAGAAGAGGAAAAAAAAGAGTAACCTGATACAATTTTTGAACTTGACCTACACCTATGGATGCAGTAGCTCAAAAGAGGGAACAAATCTTTGTAGCAGGGATCATTCCCACCCCCTCCATAGACAGAGTAGACAGGGATGGGCCACTTGGACATTGGCTATCCAAAATGGGGAGGCTACAAAGGCAAGAAGTGACTGGCTTACAAGCTTTCAAGTGGGAACCTAGATCTAGAGGGTGTGGAGGAAGGTAGAATCTCCACTGAGTAGTATCCAATCTGTCTAGGCAGGACTGATTAAAGGAAATGTGAATAGGTCTCTTGTGATGCAAGGGTGAATAATTGTTACCAGGACTGATTGTGAAGGTTGTAAATGTAAAAGTGGGCATTTTGTGGCAAGGAGGGGAGTGATTGACTTTGCAGGCTGGGAGCGGAGGTCCCTGGAACCATGAAGGGAGAAGAGCGGAGAGCGGAACCCTACCCAGAGAGGCAGTGATCCCCAAGATGACATGGAGAGATGGAGCAGCTGGGGACTCAGGACCCAGAGAAGAAGAGGGGCTGTGTGCTGATGACGGGTGGTGGGGGAGCAGGCTTATAGGATGCACCCTTTCGTTGATTGGTGATGTGTGGAGGGGATTGTAACCGTGGCAATGAAACAATATACGATAAGGTGAATGTAAAACTAATGTTCTCCTATGTAAACTGTCACATAATTCACAATAAAATTTATTTAAAAAAAAAAACAACAACAGAAAAGTCACATCTCAATCTTTCATCTTTTTGTACTTTCACGTCTTTTAAAAAATTATTTTCCTTTCATTCTATAATTTGAAACTATTTTGTCTTATACAAGCTGCCCTTTTGTCTTCTATCTTAGATCTGAAGGGCAATTTTAAGGAGTTGAAATATATGCTTGAAAGTATTTTAACTATTACACATATACACAAGCAATTTTAAGAGTTAAAAAGTACATTAACACTTAACTGCATTAGTACTATAGTAGAACCTACCAGGTGGACCTGGGTAGCTTGTCTTAGCTGCCACAAGTGAATGAATGAGAAAGGATATTGAAGGAATTTGAAAAAAGCCTGTTTTGGATTGTTTTACACCTTTCACTCAAATCATCAGTCCACCTTACCCCTTCTTATTTTCCAGGGAACTAAAGTGCTGAGAAACCATAATCCATAGGTTGTTCAGTGAACACTGAAACCATCATATGACAATTTGGGCTGCAAAAGGACCAAAAGCCATAGCTTAGCTGATCCCTTTCGGTGTTCTTTTGTAAAGGATTTAATTCCTGTGAGTTTTGTCTCTTAATTGTTATTTTCTTTTCACTTTCAGGCGTTGGTAAATCGTGCTTATTGCTACAGTTTACAGACAAGAGGTTTCAGCCAGTCCATGACCTTACTATTGGTAAGTCATAGAAAAGAGATGAAATCTGAAAGTTACAGAAAATGGAAATGGAAGGTGCTAGAGGAGCTATTTTATTAGTAAAAATTCCAGAAATTAATTTATTGCTGTTTAGTTTAGTCTCCATCAACATATAGTAAAAATAAACATTGCTGTGAATTTTAAAAAGTGAGTGGCATGCAGAAAGAGAATTATTAAGATTCTGGTTTTATTTAATGATGAAACAAACAACTGAGACTGTTTCAGAGCAAAGACTCTGGACCTGCCTGCCTGCATTAACTGTGCAAGATCCTTAACTGCTCTGTGCCTCTGGTTCATTACCTGTGAAGAGAATAATAATAGTCTTAATCTTAAAAAGTCATTTTGAGCATTACATGACTTAATAAATGTGAAGCATGGGAATGGTGCCTTGCAGCATAGTACTTGGGCTAGACTTACCTATCATTGTTAATCAAGAAAAACTCATACCTAACTTTTTTGTAAGTTTCCTTGACTATGCGGAGTAAATGAACAGTAACTGATATAGACTAAACTTTCATTACTATTTATTATTTTAAATAGTGCTACTACTCGTTTTTACTAAATGTTGTTGTTGTTAAGTGTTATCTAGTCAGTATCTAGGCGCTCTGGTAGCGTAGTGGTTACGAATCAGGCTGCTAACCTCGAGGTTGGCAGTTTGAAACTACCAGCTGTTCCATGGGAGAAAGATGAGGCTTTCTGCTCCCGTAAAGATTTACAGCCTCAGAAACCCTGTGCAGGGTCACTATGAGTCGGAACCGACTCCACGGCACGTAACAGCAACATCAGTCAGTTCCTACTCATAGTGACCTGGTATAGAGTGTCTCAGGAATGGCTGGTTTGAACCACTGACCTTGTGGTCCAGTGCTTATCCTACAGTGCCACACCAGGACTTCTTACTACATGTAAAGTCATAAAATTAAAATGAACAAAAAACTAAAAACTTAAGGTAAAAAGACTGGAAGTTTCTGATGTGTTAAAAAATTACATTTATTCATGAAAAGCTAAAGAATTTACCTGGATTATTATTTTATGACTACAGTCTAGCAACTAGAAATTAGTCAAATTTGAAAAAATAATTGGAAATCTAATTACAGTTCATAATTGACAGCTTGACAAATCTTCTAGCCATTGACTGCTTATTATTAACTTACTGTATATAACATATTGATTCTTACGTCTTTATATTTTTAAAATACCAAACAAAGATTGTTGTTCTGTGTGCTGTTGAGCCATTTCCAACCTATAGCCATCCTTTATAGGGTTTCCAAGAGTGCCTGGTGGGTGGATTTGAACTACTGATCTTGTTGTTACCAGTTCAATGCTTATCCTGCCAAACAAGGACAGAGATTATACATCAAATGATTAGTACAGTTAATAGTTTCCAGCCCAACCATGTACTTCATTTATTGTTGTTGTTAAGTGCTATGGTGTCAGTTTCAACTCATAGCTACCCCTGTATAGGGTTTCCAAGGAACGGCTGGTGGGTTTGAACCATAGGCCTTGCAGTTCAATCCAGCATTGTGTTCCAGCGCATTATCCTTCAGCTTCACGCCAGAACTTTGTGGAGATCCTGAAAGTTCTTTAGTAGTTACTGCTGTCTATAGTAATACCTAAAGTAATACTTTCATTAGTAATAGTTAAAACCTTCAATATAGTTTCATGCTGGTCCTCATGCCTATGGGACAGTTCTCATGTAAGGTCATCATGAGTCAGAGTTGACTTGATGACAACTGGTTTGTTCTTTCTATCTTTCTTTATTTTTGTTTGAGCTTGTTTTGATTTAGGATTTGCTTTGTGCCCTGTAAGTCTGAAACCTTGGTAGTCAATGCTTAGACATGACCTGAAACTACCAAGAGGTTGCTTTAAGTATAGTATTCTAAGCCAAGTGCTTTTCCTTTTCGTATATGTTTACATGTAAATTTCCAATTGATATGACACATGTGATGGCAGAGGGTGGGTCTAAGCCTGCGCCTGCTTTCAGAAATTGGCACTGATTTTACTTACATGAAGAAAACCATGGTATCAAGCTTGGAGGAAGACTTATTAACAACCTACGATATGCAGATAATACAGCCTTGCTTGTTGAAAGTGAAGAGGACTTAAAATGTTTACTGATGGAAATCAAAGAGCACAGCCTTCCGTGTGGATTATATCTCAATGTAAAGAAAACGAAAATCATCACCACTGGACCAATAAATAACATTCTTAGCAATGGACAAACGATTGAAGTTGTCAAGGACTTCATTCTTCTTGGAACAACTATCAACATTCATGGAAGCAACAGTCAAGAAATCAGATGACATACTGCATTAGGTAAATCTGCTGCACAAGACCTTTTTAAAGTGTTGAAGAGCAAAGATGTCAGCTTGAGGACTAAGGTGCGCCTGACCCAAGCCATGGTATTTTCAATAACCTCATATGCATGCGAAAGCTGGACAATGAATTGATGCTTTTGAGTTATGGTGTTAGAGGAGAATATTGAATGTGCCCTGGGCTGCCAAAAGAACCAACAGATCCGTGTTGGAAGAAGTGCAGCCAGAGTGCTCCTTGGAGGCCAAGATAGCCAAACCTCGTCTCTCATACATTGGACATATTGTCAGGAAGGAACAGTCGCTAGAGAAGGATCTCATGTTTGGTAAGGAGGAAGGTCAGAGAAAAAGAGGAAGACCCCCAATGAGATGTATTGGCAAAGTGGCAGCATCAGTGGGCTCCAGCGTGGCAACAATTGTGAGCTTGACCCAGGATTGGGCAGCGTTTTGTTCTGTTGTGCATAGGGTCGCTATGAGTCGGTACCAACTTGGTGGCACCTAACAACAACAACAACATACTTTTGCAAGGAACCTTTGTGGCACAATGATTAAGCAATCAGCTGGTAACCAGAAAAGTCAACCATTCAAACCTGCCAGCAGCTCTGTAGGAGAGTAGATCTGTCAATCTGCTTTCATACTGATAACAGCCTAGGAAACCCTATGGGGAAGATCTATTCTATTAGCAGGAGAGACCAAACCCTGGAGATGGACATCATGCTTGGCAAAGTAGAGGGTCTGAGAATTTCAACAAGATGGTTTGAGAACAGCGGCTACATTAATGGTCTCAATACCAGTGATTGTGAATTTGGTGCAGGATTAGGACATTTCATTCTTTAATGTAATTCTATGAATGAGAACTGAAATAACTGCATCTAACAACAACATGAGTTGGAATCAGTTTCATGGTGCAGAACAACACAACATACCTGTGCACAAGACCTCTCTAAACTGTTTTTAAAAAGAAAAAACAAAAACAATGCTATCACTTTGATAACTTAGGTGCACATGACCCAAGACATACTCTTTTCATTCATATCATATGTGTATGAAAACTGGACAATGAAAAAGGAAAATCGAAGAAAAACTGATACATTTGAATTTTGGTAGTGGTAAAAAATATTGACACTCAACAACAAAGAGGAGCCTGTCCATGTGTTTTTGAAAGGAATAATGATAATAATCAAATTGCTATGTTATAGACTTACAGTATGTGAATCTGACTCATGGTGACTCATATGTATCAGAGTATGACACTACTCCATTGGAAGTTGATTACCAGATCTTTCTTTTCAGACACCTTTGGGTGGGCTGAAACCATTAACATTTTGTTTAGCAGCAGAGGATATCTATAATTTGCACCACCCAGGAACTCCAAGCCAGTTGTCATCAAGTTAATTCAAACTGATGGAAACCCATGAGTTTGTGTCAGAGTAAACTGCTCTGTAGAATTTTCATATGTGTCAGAGTAAAGTGCTCTGTCGAATTTTCAGTGGCTGATTTTTCAGTAGCTTGTCAGGTCTTTCTTCTGAGATGCCTTCCTCTGTTAAGACTGAAACTGCCAACTTTTCAGTTAGCAGTCTAGCTTGTTAACTATGTATAACTATAATGAAGCCATCATAATCATTCCTGCACATACACTCAGCCCCCTAGTCCCTCTCTTTCTTTGTCATAGTCTCTGATATGGGTGACTATAGGGCAAATCCAACTGTGTCTATTTTGTGCCTTCACAGGTGCAGCTAGATAAGACTGGAGAAAAACATGCTACTTAGTCTCATTTAAATTTCTTGGCCATAGCTTCAAGTGAGATTCCTGGTGTGGTGCTATAGAATAAGCTCTGGGCTGCTAACTATAAGGCCAGCGGTTCAAAACTACCAACTGCTCCTCGGAAAGTCTATACAGGGTTGCTATGAGTCAGAACAAACTCAGTGGTACTTACCAACAACATAAGCTTTAAGTTGACTCTTAATTACTGCCCATCAGTTGCGTTGTATTTCCATACCTTTAATCGTAATTTTTCCTGTTAAATTGTATCTTAGCCTCTTACTCTTTTAAGTATACAGGTAGTGTAGTGGTTACATATCGGGCTGTGAACCACAAGGTCAGCAGGTTGAAACTACAAGCCGCTCCATGGGCGAAAGATGAGGCTTTCTGCTCCCGTAAATATTACAGCCTCGGAAAACCCTGTACAGGGTCGCAACTGACTCGACAGCATTTAACAACACCTTCTCCTGTCTTTACTCTCAGCTTATTACTTTGGTTTCTGTTCTGCTCAGAAAATAGAATTGAAGATAAGAGCATTTTCAGATTTCCACTACCACATATACCCACCTACCTGCATTGTATCTATTAACTCAGCCTTCCTCATAGTTGCGACGGGTGAACTCCCTTTTATATCCCAGACATCAGTTTTTTCTCTTTTGTTGGTAATTTTTCATGACTCTCTTTTCTTATTTATTAGTTCTTTCCTTTTAGCAAATTTCCTTGTAAAGCATTCTATTTCCTAGCTCCAATTTCTCTTCAACCACTAATTAGCATGTCCCCTCTCATATTAGATGTCAGAATCTTTCCTGTAGTCTTCTCACACTCATTGTTGTTGTCATTAAGTTCCATTGAGTTCATACTGGTGTTTTAAGCTGCTGACTTTGTGGTTGGCAGTCCAGTGCTTATCCTACT